GGTTGAGTCGTGGAGGGTATTGATTCAACATTCCAAGTGAACCAAAATCGGCTTCCTTTTCCCAATTCGCTTTCGACACCAAATTCACCTCCGTTTATAGTTATCAAATGTTTGCAAATTGAAAGGCCTAAACCCGTACCACCATGGAGCCTCGTCGTTGAGGCATCTTCCTGCGAGAAGCTATCCCATATGCGCGTCATAAAGACGGCATCTATCCTAAAATGACGATGACAAGCAAAGATGTGGAAAGTTATATAGTCTGGTAAAAAACTTGTATAATGCATTTTTCGATCGATATGGATAAAATTATAACGGTCACAAAACGCTTGTATGAATTAATTAATAGATATGTTGATAATTACCCAATGCCAGTATCAACAAATTCCATAAATAATTTTTCTTTCCCGATAACATTATTCTCATCTCTTGAGTCAATCCCTTTGGTGATCAATTTATTTGACGAAGCCATTGAAATTTTGAGAACCACTTCACCAGTTTCCGTAAACTTAATGCTTGAAGCAAAGAAGGTTAACGTGAAGTCAGTGTGGTGGCAAGGTAATGAAAATAAGTAATTATGAATTGCGAACTTACGAGTTAGACAGAAAATTTATTATTACTTGTTTTAACCTGATTGAAAATATTGCATTAGTTCCTGTTATATATTAGGCACGCGCGAGGTTCCTTACGCACCTGTCAGGATCGGACTTCACATATTTAGGTAAAGAGGTAGGATCGCAATCTAAGATCAGTTCAATCCTCTTATTTCCTGCCTGTTCCCCGAAAATGTCGATGGTTTCTTCGACCAAAAAAAGAAGATCAAAGGTCCTGTTTACAAGCGTAAGTTTCTGTGCCTCGAGTTTCGCTGCGTCAAGGATGTCGTTGACCACTGCAAGAACAATGTCAGATGCACGCATCATTATTTGAACCATTTCTTTTTGGTCTTTCGTCAATGGAGTACCCTCAAATGCTGATAATACTCCTATGATCGCTCCTAACGGCGTTCGAAGTTCTATCATTGTTTCGAAATAGAATTTCGTGTTAAGCGTAAATCCTGAATGACGAGATTCAATTCATAAACACCTACCGTGAGAGGTGTTAGCCAAGATTTGTCCTTTGGCTTCATTAGCAGCTCTTGCAGCTTCCATTTG